AATTGTATGTTATGATAAAATTTGAGTGTGCACCTTAATTGGATTGTTTAAGGTTGCAGCCTTATGGAAACTACACCCTTTAAGGATTGCCTTTACTTTATTTTTTTATGAAGTTTCTATAAGGTTTAGGGTTTATGAAAACAATATAAAGCCTCACCTCAAACCTTTACTTAGAAAGCACTTTTGGTAACGGAAATGCTCATGATGGCTCTAAAATCAATTTTCAACACCAACAATAAATTTTGAAACTTAAAAAATGCAGATTTGTGATTTTTGGGGCGAAATAGATGGTCTAGATGATTTATTACAATATACACTATTTTTAAAACATGAAATCTTAAATATTTTTCACAATCATAAAAAAATATATTTTTGAGATGGATTTTTGGACCTTTATAAAATTTAAAGATTAAAAATAATAATTTTATGAATAAATGATTTGGACAATTAGTTTTAATTGTTTTAAGATGGACAATCCATTTGCATCCATACCTAGGGGACGCAAATGTAGAAATACATCTCCTTTCACATAGAACAATTTTCCTGTCTTTCTTTTTTATTTCTTTCTAGAATATAGATAACTGTGAAGGTCCTTATCATTAATTTCTAGGTTTTCATGCACCATGGATCTAAGAATCCTATGCTGAGGTTGAATGCTCGTCCTCATCCATAAGAGCTATGACTCTAGAATACATCTTTATCACCTCATCAGAAAGTGCCAAAAGTTTTTCCTTTTAATGAGAAAAAAGCTGTTATTAGGCGAAAGGGTTGTATTCTTGTACACATCTACTGAGCTGTGCAACTTGTTGAGAAGGAATCGCATGTCACAGTCCAATAATGGCGTTCTTCTATAATGCCTTCTAATTCTCAAAGGAATCGCATGTCACAGTCCAATAAAGGCGTTCTTCTATAAGGCCTTCGAATTCTCAACTTCTATGTTAACAATAATAATAATAATAATAATAATAATACTTTGTGTTATTACAGATGTATCAAATAGTTTCTGTTATTACATGTCTATCCATTTTTTACCTTTTATAACGTAGTTTTTTGAAAAAGGAGATTTTACCCTCTTAAGCTTTCTGAAATTTCGCAGTTTGGATGTTGGAAATTCGAAAATGTCACATTTTCGGATGTTGAGAATGGAGGCTTTCTGAAATGTTACTCATATTGTTCAACAACCAAAAATACATTGAATTCGGATGTTGAACATTCAAAAAACCCTTCAATTCGGTTGTTCAACAACCGAAAAATGGTAAAGTCGTTTTTTAAAAAATTTACGTTATGAAAGGTAAAAAAAAGACAGACATGTAATAACAGAAACTATTCGGTACATCCGTAATAACGTAAAATATAACAGATATATGTGTAATTTTTTCTAATAATAATAATAATATATTATGAGTATGGTTTGCATAAAGTTGCAACCTTAAACAATCAAATTAAAACACGACTTCGAATTTGATCATAATGTAATTTTGGTGTCAAAAAATTTTTCGGATGGCTTGAGAATCTATTTTCATATTTAATTAAAAAGTTTTGTACTTCAAAAATCATTCAAATCAAGTAGATCTATAAACATATGAAAATATTTAAGATGGACGGTCTAGATAATGTGTTGCATTATTATTATTATTATAGGAGAGCGAGAGAATTAGAAGGGAGGGTGGTAAGGGGCCGTGCTATGGCTGCCCCTAACCAGCATGTGACCAAGAGGCCTAGCCAGCCCAAAAACATCCATGGCCCAAGTTTAGTCCTACTTTTGGTCTAGGTATCAACTCGGCCTTGTTAATGGGTCGGGCCGGGCCTACAGATATTAAATTATTTTAATTTCCAAAAGATATTGAAACAACTATATGCTAAGCCGGGATATGAAGCCTGGCCTAGGCTTGGCTTGGGCACCATTCATAGATTTGAAGCCCATGTTAAGGCTTACTGTTTAGGCTAGAAGGCTGGGTTAAACTCCGTTCTGCAATCTAATATATAAACGCACTTGTAGAACATTTTTCACATAGCTGGAAAAAGTTAAAGTTAGCATTAAAAAATGACAAAGAAAGTTTAAAAAATCACCTTGTCATTTAAAAAAGAACTTTCCCATTTAAAAAGTTTATAGTATAGATGAGATAGGAAAAAAAATTTAAATTGATGGAGATGTGCGTGGTATAATATATGCGACATGACGGGATCGCGAACATGGCGATTGGCCGGGCAGCCCAGTCCATGGAACTAGAACCTGGGGCACAAGATGTGGGCTGTGGACCAGGTTCAAGCAATGATAGGGCGCCAATTCGCCTCATATCAACTATTTTTTTTTTTTCTTTTTTTCTTGAATAGCATTTGGCTTGGCATGGCGTTGACTCTGAGCTAATGACTATTCGATCTAGTCTGAACTAGATTTGGCCAACCCCATAGGGATTAGAGCCACGCTTGGGCCAATGTTGTTTTAGCATAGGCCCAGGCCCAGCTTGTTGCTAGCCGTAAATTCACCCTCCACGAGTTTGAATCATAGTTAGTATCATATTAAGACATGATTTTTTACAATAAATTTTCGATTTTTTGAAATCAATTAAGAACTTTGAGTTTTTCAAAAGATCATAAAAAAAAATATCTTTTTTAATAGAATCGATATAAATCAATATTTTATCTTTTTTTCCAAAAAATACTTTAAACAAAAATTTCTTCCTTATGACTTATATATGATTGTATATTATGAGACCATTTATTTTTTATACAAGAAGGTGATAATCACTTTTAACCATTGGATATGAAATCTAAAATGCATCACAACATTCGAGAAATTTTGTTTTGGACTTGTACTTAAATAATGACCTATCCTCAAGAACCAATTTCAAATCTAATAGCCAATGATGATTGTGACATCCTTTTAACAAAAGTAAATGGTTTCATGATATACATTTACGCGACTTAA